ATGTAATTACCCAGTGGCAGGACAGCCAGCTGCTTAGTGATTTCAGTTGGCACAAGGAACAGCTTTGTGGTCTTAGAGTGGACTCACATCCAGGTCCCCTAAAGCACATCCCATCTCCATTGGTCTGCAGAGGCCCAGTGTTTTATCAAAGATTCGAAGAGGGGCAGATGAGACGTCTACACACACTGCGGGCTGGCTGGGGATTCCCTGCTGAGTTCTCCCCAGTAAACATCTCTTGTTTTTGGTATTTCTAACATAGAGGAAGGGAATGTCTGAAACAGTCTTCAAAGTGCCCAGGATGACTGCAGAACAGAGGCTTCTGGGAGGGCACTGTCCTAATAAATCATGTGAACTTCATTTAGACTATTTGTTCCATCGGGAAGTGGAAGCTTTGCAATCAGAGCTGTAGATGAGGGCTCTGTGTGGAGGGGAAGTGGCCCCTGCCTCACACACAGGCAAGCCTGCTGGCAGCAGAGTGGTGGGCCTCCCTGCCTTCTGGTGACACCATCAGCCGTCTGTCTACGCATTGAGGCCACCTGTTCCTGTGTGTGTGCGCCCGCGAGTGTGCTCACATGTAGGATGTGGGAAGATTGATGGGACATCAGGACTGTAATTTCAGTAGCGAAGCCTCAGAAGCATCAAAATCTTGGTACCTGGTTGTTTGCTGAGTTTGAAATAGGCGAAGATGCCTGGCCTCGCCAAGTTAAATTAGCAACAGGCTCCATCACTTGGGCCAATAATGTGCCAGATGCAAAAGCCATTCATGAGGAAAAATTATTTTCAAGAAACACAGAAATAGGCCATTTACCTTAGTAATTTTACTGGGGGGAGAGTCTTCTCTAGTTGAATGACAATTGAGGTAAATACACCTGCAGCCTTCAGCTTCTGTATCAGGGACTTAGAATATACGGAACTTTAAAAAAAATCCATACAAGACCCATAAACAGGCTGAAAATTGTTCTCACTAGTCATTTTAATTTTATAAAGGCAGAATTTCCAATGAAAGTGAATTTATAGGTAAGATTTCACTGTATTTTTGAACAAAGCTCAAGCAGGTTGGGTTTCCATCCCAGGAAATGAGACCCCGTGGGTCACACTGTGTGTGTCCTCCCTGAGGAACTGGCCTTGGCCCCCTTCAACCGAGCAGGGCCACTCATGCTCTCGACCTCAGAACACTGCCACCAACTCGTGGTTGCAGAATCTGTATTTGGGGACCCACTGAAGAAGAGTTTCTCTTATTGGAGGCAGGTCCCTGTGGCCCTGGGCCATCCTTTGCCCCCAACTCCCACTGGCCATCAGAGAACCTTTCTCTATTTCATAATTTTATAAGTCAGTTCAGCTGTCTCCTGCCAGTGAGTCCTTCCTGGTCCCCCTCTTCCCTGAGGACATGACCGCTCCTTCACAAGGCCTGTCCCCTCTCTGTGCAGACTTTGGTCTTGGCACCAAAGGCCTTATTTATCTGTTCCCATCCTGGGCTCTGAGCTCTTAGTTGTATTAATCTCTGTGTCCCCACTGACTCTCTGTGTCCCCATTCAACAAGTGTTAAATGAATGTGCTTCTTAAACCCAGAGCCCAGGGGCCATCCTGATTCCTCTCTCCCTGCTCCACAGTAGGTAAGTCCCTGGCTGCCTGAGCACTGCAGGCTTCCTCCAACCTGCTGCAATTCCCTGTCCCATCTAGCTGCTGCCATTTTCAGGTCTCCTCCGCTCAGTTCATGCTCTGATATGCCTTGGCGGTCATCTTTTAGCAATGCAAATCAAATCTCATGTTTTAAATTCTACATGGTTCTCCATCTTTCTTACTCTGGAGGCAAACTCTGTAATAGGTTTGCTCCTTAAGAGGGTTGCAAAACTCCACATGGGTTATCCTCAAGTCTGGTGCAGGGATATTCTGGTTGGGATTCCAATTTTGCACAGGAATCTTAGTCAAAATCCCCAGGTGACTGCAAGGTGTCACCAGGTGAATCACAGTAGTCAGCTCTCACCTCTGCACCCCCACCCGCCACTACAGCTGTGATGACACGTCCTCTTAGTTCCTGCCACCAGAGATCACTGTGCCTTTCTCCAGATTCTCCCATGCTGGCTCCTGTGGTCCTGCAGATCTTGGTATAAAAGTCTCCTCCCCTGCAAGTCTGTCCTGCCAACCCCGCCCCCTTTACCATGTGGCAGAGCACTTGCCAGATGTAGCCACTTTGTTAATTGTCTAGCTCCTCCTTCAGCAAATGAAATACTTTTTTCCTCTGAGCAGCCCCTAGCAACACAGTAACTGCTCTTTAAGTGCACAAAGGAGGAAGAAGGAATCTATGAGAAAGGGGTTTGGATTGGTCCCCTGGGAAGGGGAGCAGCACGTGTTCCAGGCTCCCAAAATACAGATTCTGTAACCACATGCTGGTGGCTCTGTTCTGAGGTCAAGGGCAAGGGTAGGCCCTGCTGGGCTGATGTAGACTGGAGCCCAGCATTGCTGCTCAGTCACTCAAGGTGTGATTGTAATTGTGTGTGAGTCTTTTGTACTTCGATGACCTCACCCCTAACATGCAAAAATCCACGAGCACATGGCAGGGTGAGCATGAGATGAATTGTGACTGTGTGTGGAGCCATCCCATTAATGCTGGTGGTGTTACTGTGAACTGTAATGCTGACCACTTGGGTGTACAGTATCTCCCTCCCCACCTCTGCTGCTTCCTCCCTCAAGTTGCCAAAAGCTGCTCAGGGCAGGTGTGCTCTCTGGGCTCAGGGAGTGGCAGCCATTGGCAGTGCACTCGCTGGTACTGCAAACCACTTCCTCTGCCTCTCACTCACCTCCAGGCTAGGAAAGCCCCTGCTGTTTATCAGATGGTCTTGGGACTGTTATAAAAACCCAAAGTCAGCAGCAACCAACCTGCAAACACTTCCCTGAGGAGAGGGGTTGAGCCCAGCAGCTGGGGAAGTCCTCGGCATACAGACCTGTGTGTTTTTCACCTAACACGGCTGCTGGGTCTAGAATGTAAACTCCTGCATGGCACAGCAGGCTGACCAGAGCTCAGAGAACAGTGCAGAAGAGGTGTCAAATAGCTCACATTTGCTTTTGTTTCCTCTTGGAAAGAAAACCAAAGCTTAATTGTGGAATCAGGTGCTCTGAAGAAACAAACTTAAGAAAAAAAAAATCACATTTTCCAGAGTAGAGGACACACAATTGAATTGACTTGATCAAAATCTTACAAAGGTAACTGGCGATGTTTTCATCCCCTCAGGACGCAGTTCGTATGTCTGCATTGGCCTCATTCGACTCCTGAGCAGCTCTCGAGAAACCCTGGTCTGGACTGGTGTCTAAATCTTTGTACAAAGTTTCTTTTCCCTGAGTGGGAGTCTTCAGGGTTAGGTCACATATTTGCTTGACCCAGACCCGGAATGACTTCAGCCGACAGTCCCCATTTTGGGAAATGCCACTGGGATTTTCCTGAGGCCCTTGGCTCTGTCCTGACTCTGTCTGGAGCGAAGCCAGGGCTGGTCACTGCACGGCATCTTGGCCAAACAGTCTCTGTGATACTTTCATCTGGTTGTTCTCATGGTTCTATACCTTTCAAAACACTGGCGACACTTTCTCCTAATGAGACTATTCCTATTTCTCCTTTGAATCTTACCTTTGAAGTTCAGGGAGGGTGCTGGATTCCTTTCTGTTATGATGGAATAGCTCGCGAGGTGGCACACAAGCTCAGCCCCTGCATTATTTTCCATATTGTACAGTAGATGCATTGTATTTTTCCAGAAGGAGAGAAATTTTTTAGTATCGCTGTCTCAATCCTACCTTCTCAGACATTCCTGGAAAATTTGGCATATTCTCAAGCCTGAGAAGTCTTTGTTTGTTCTACTGGATCCATGAGAAAGGGAGATGGGCCTGGAGGTTGGATGAGACAACAGGAACTTACTTAGGTCTCAGTTGGGGATGGAGAGCAGCCCACTCCAGTGCTGGGATGCTCTGCAGGGAGGCAAGTCACTCATCTGCTTCTGCTGAGCAAGCTGGTTACTGCCCAGGGGGTTCAGAAACCGGGGCAGCTATTCAAATATATCCTCAGGCAACAAGCACTCCAAACTGTTAGTGCGCCCACCCTTGCTGCAGCTACAGGGCTGGGGTCCCTTGGAAATTTCATAGTTACTGCAAAAGACCCTTTTTCAATTATTAAAAAAGGTAATATACTACTTCCTTACCACACCATTTTTTCTTTTAAATTATTATATTTTTGTGTCAGCTAAAAGGAAATGTACACACTGAAATCTCCAAAGACCTTGGGCACACACATTAACCTTGTCAGAGAAATATGCGTCTCTCTTTTTTCCATAGGAATTTCCTCAAACATTTGCAACCACAGGTAGGGTGTGGGTCTTGTCAGAACACACCAGTTTTAAGTGCACCATCTGCAAACATCGTTACGGTTAGAAATACATACTTATAATGAGAAGACTTCCAGTGTCATAGTGGTTCAAAGGATACTGAGCAGACGTGGCTGTTACGTTGTTGTCTCTTAGTTTTGCTGACACAGAAAGGGGCAAGATGGTCTTCACATTGAGAAGCTGAGCAGCCTTGGCAGAGAGCTACAGACACCTGTGAAACGGCCTTCATACAAAATGTGCTGGGACTGGTGGGGAGATTTCCTTGTCCTTAGAGGCCTCAAAACCCTAGAGTAGGGATTTTGCTGAGGGTGGGATGACCTTACGCTCTGGGACTTCCTTAGAAAACTATGACTCTGTTACTAAAGGAAGCATTCAAAGGAGCTTCTCTCCATAAAGTCACTCAGATGCTCATCCCAAACTTCACATCCTTACTTAACTGTCACCAAGACCAGGCCCGCTGGTCAGTCAGTTGTCAACACAGCCTCTTAGGGTGTATCATTCTCTCCTGAGTTCTAAAGTATTTCCCACAGGGTACGGCTTAAGTTAAGGATCACTAACCGGGTATGGACTAAATCCACCATAGTATTTCTCAAGAAATACAAATTCTGACATTCTCTTTCTATTTTTTTCCAGATAACTTGTTCAAACCAAAAGAAAGGTGCATTTCAGAGAAGGAGATGCACATGCGATCTAAAAGGTATGGTGGGTATGGTGTGAGGCAGAAAGATGTTGGCAGGGGAGGCATGGGACGGTGTGCTGAGCTCGTGTGATGTCCAGTGTCTGATGGGGCCACTAAGGGCGGGGGAGGCATGGGACGGTGTGCTGAGCTC